GGGTCTTCTGGGGGTATCTTAGAGGCCTTCGCGTCGGAAGCACGAAGAGGAGAGACGACTCAATTTTTGTTTGAAAGCCCAAGGCAACTCGAGGTTTGAAGCCCTCTTGGAGCGTCTTTGGAGACCCTTTGGCCGTCTGGAGGCCGTTTTGGGGGTCTTGGAGCGATCTTCGGGTGACTCGAGGCCCTCTGGGCCGTCTTCGGGGCCTAGCGGGACCCTCCTGGCCCGTTTTGGGCCCCCTTTCGTCCGGAATGTTTAGCGAGAACACGCGACAAGCCCCAAGAGTGCGTGGTACTCGCGGCTGTGGGACCCATAACGAGTATTACGCTACCCATAGGTCGTTGAAAGTACTTATTGCGAAGGCCTTACGGCCGGTGCCGCCGACCCTGGAGGGCGACCCATGCGTTCTCTAATGTGGAGGGGGGGGGCCTCTTGGGGGTATCTTTGGGTCTCGTGTGGGGGGGGGGTCGTGTTGGGGCCGTTGTTGGTAATCGTGAGGCTTTCTCGGGAGCGTCTTTGGCCAACGACGACGACGACGTTGACGGCGGTGGCGATCTGGAGCTATTCTCAAGGGTCTCTCGGGGACTCTCTGGGGCTCTCTCGGGGACTCTCTCGGGGCCTTCTTGGGCCAGTTTGGGGCTTTCTCGTGGGTCTTTTCGACCGTATTGGGGGGGGGGGTCTTGGGAGCCTTTGGGGTTGCTTTGGAGTGTTCTTGGGCTCGGCACTCCGGGGGTAGCTACCTTGCCCCGCACTTTTCAGTAGCTGCCTTGCGGTTAAAGGGTGAGCCAACCGAGCCTCAGCTCATGCCGGATGAGCACGCGAAGCTCCTGTGGGCCTCTTGGGGCTTCCTGGGGGGCCTTTTGGGGGTCTCGTGGTGGCCTCTTGGGGGCATCTTGGGGCTTCCTGGGAGCCTCTGTCGCCGAGGGCTCGTCGGGCCCCCCGTCTGGGCACCCTGTTGGAGCCGTTTAGGGAGCCTCTGGGGCCATCATCTTGGAGGCATCTTGGGCGGTCTTGGCTCTCTTGGGTCATTTTGGGGCTCTCTGGAGGCCTCTTGGGCTATCCTGGGGCAATCTTGGGGGCATCTGGGGCCGTCTTGGAGCGTCGGCAAGTTGGAACGGCGAGAATGCCAAAATCTGTCAAAAACTGAAAGAAAATCATTGATTTTTCCCTCTTCGTGCCCTCTTGGGAGTGCTCTTGGAGACTTCTTGGAGCGTCTTGGCAATCTCTTGGGCCGTCTGGAGGCTACTTTGGCGTCTTCGACCGATGGTTCGGCGATTCGGGGCCCTCTGGAGCCGTCTTGGAAGCCTCTTGGGGCACTCTTGGCCAGTCTGGGGGCTTTCTAAGTCCCGGGACATCCGGGGGGGGATGCGTACCTGCCCCCCCCCCGGGATCCCCCCCCGGGACCCCCCCCCCCCGGCGGGGAAGGGATCAAAGGGAAGGGGCTTCCCTTCGACTCAGCTACGACGTTGCTCTATTTCGCTTTGCCTTCGACTCAGCTACGACGTTGCTCGATTTCGCTTTGGTTTCGCTTTGGCTGGCGCGCCTGAGGGGAGGGCGACGACGACGACGACGACGAACGGAAGAGCATCGACGACGACGACGACGACGACGACGGCGACGACGACGACGACGACGGCGGCGACGACGACGACGACGACGTTCACGACGAATGGAAAAGCATCTTCCACACGCCGACAGGGTCGGCGGATTTTTGAGGTCCCAGATTCCAATCTACGTTAATCGCTTTCCTACTTCAATGGTCGAGTGGCTTCACCTTTTCCGGCGTCTTTAGGCGGCGGGCGGACACCCAATCTACTTTCAACGCCTTCCTAATTCATGTTTCTACCTGCTTCTTCCGACCGATGGGTATTCAAAACAGATGGTGTTAAAGGACTTGTGCGCAGCTCGTGTCTCGAGGCACGGTGGCGCGGATTTTGCGGTGCACATGCGGGCGCCGCCGCGCTCCTACAATTTCAAGATTTAGCAATTCGGCAGCCCTGAGTCGGGTGTTTTTGTCAAAAACGAGTTACCATTCTTTTGCGCGCGCACACACGCTGAAATCAGACGATAACCGCAGTGCTTTGTTTTCTGTTACAACATGAGGCCCTGCGGGCCACGCGCGCGCATGTCGAACGCATCCAACAATCATCTCGCACCCGCCAACTCTGTCAGATAATACCTTGCGGGCCAGGCGCACGCTTCTGAAAGCGCACACGCCGACAGCCACAGTTACTTGTTCTGAGCATTTCGGCACATATGTGCTCAAGCACATACGGTTTCCGATGATTTTATCGCGAAGGCCTTAGGGCTGGTGCCGCCGACCCTGAAGGGAGACGACGACCACAACGGCGGCGGCGACGACGACGCTGACGTGAGCCGGAGTCATCAGGGATGCTTCTTGGGGTCTCTTCAGAAGGCTCTCGGGTGCCTCTAGGGAGGAATTCTGGGGCCTTTTGGGGGCCTCTTGGGAGCCTCTTGGGGGCCTCTTGGGGCCCTTTTG